TTTACGTCTTTTTAATGACTTGGAATCACTGCGGCGCCGCACCCACCGCACCGCAACGGTAAGACCGGAGTCGGTGTGAGCCTGGGGTGATGAACTTGTTCGCCATCTACAACCCTTTAACAACCGACCCTCAGAATCATAAACAGGCTTCAGAAATCACAGGCTAACGATGGAACCAAACGACCCATTCATCGGTTACCATTGCATGTTTCCAAGCGATACAAGGCTTTGTCTATATAAGACTCAAACTCACTGCGGATCCAGACATTTGAATTGAGAAAGCTTCCTGGAGAGGTGGAGAAACGTCTTCAGATCTTGGAAACCAAGTCCAGTGGATATTTTTTGAATTTTTACGGTCTACAACCCTTCATCCAACACCGGACGACACACAGTTCACCCGTGAGTGTTCCCCAAAGGCTAGCCGTGGTGCTGCGTGTTTTGGCTTTGGGTGCAAACCAACAGACCGTCGCACAGAGCTACAAACTAGCATCCTGCACGGTGTCTGGGATAGAGTCCGAGGTGTGCCCGGTGTTGTGGACAGCACTACAGCCAGAGTTTCTCCCATTAGGTACCAAACAGGAAATACGCATAGTGTAGAGCGAATCTAGAACTGACCAATCAGAGGCCTCCTTTATCTCCTCCTTGCGACCCTATCTGCGGCACTGTCTACGGTCACCTACAATTTTAAACCCACGCAGACGACCTGGTTTAGTCCAGGCTTTAGTCCGATCATGGTCGCAGTGCGGCCGGTGCCTATCTCCAGCAGTCTACGGGCAGGATGCGGGGTCGCCATGGACATGCGCCAGTCTGTCATAGAGCAACATAGAGACACACAACCGTACACCCACACACTCACACTTAAGGACAATTAAGAGAAGCCAATTAACAACACTCATGTCTTTGGACTGTGAGAGGAAGCTGGAGTACCCGGAGAGAACCCATGCATGCTCATGGAGAACATGCAAACTCCATGCAGAAAGACGCTGCACCGGGAATCGAACCCGGAACGTTCTTGCTGCATGGCAGCAGTGCTACTCACTGGATGTCTCATTGATGCTTCCTAAATCCTCCATCAGCTTCTATTGGGGACGGCTTACACCGATGCCTTCATCCTCCTCTTCATCAACAGGACCTTTGAAGTGCGTTTGTCGTTGTCTTTGTGAGAAAAGATGGTCGTTGTTTCTGGAGAAGGTACGTTATTGAATGTTTGACGATGGTGCCAGACATGGGAGCCAGAGCATCCCCAAAGGACAAGACTCCAAGAACTGTTTCCTGAAAATGTCTTTCAGTGGGAATCATCTTGAAGTTGGACGGCTGTGGTTTAATTTCCAGCCTCTTCGCTCACCAGATGTCAATGGCCATACCCAACCCAGAGTTGTTGGCTGGATGATCCATGTCTACCAGAAACATCCGGAATACTGACCACAGTTCGGTCCACATAGAACAGGTGTTGCAAATTCCAGTTGCTGGGGGCCGGTGTCCTGAAACTTTTAGATCCCTCTTTGTTCCAGCACACCTTAATGAAATGTCTGAGTTTCCTCCTCGGTACCTCCAGAGTCCTCTCAGTCATTGAATTACTCGATTCAGGTGTGATGAACCAAAGGCTCATCTAAAAGTTGCAGCACACTGGCCCTTCAGGATCTGGAATTGCCCACCCCTGACATAGAGTGATGGTCCGTCCCAGATGGCTCTGACTCTAGAAGACTGAATGCTGGACAAGGTTAATATCAACCAATTTAAGCAGTTCATTCAATTCTATTCAGTTTATTTCTATAGCTCCAATTCACATCATGTCATCTCAGGTCACTTTCCAGTTCA